TTTTTTTTTTTGAGAGGGCATCTCTCATATTTATTGATCAAATGGTAACAACAATAAAATTCCGTATAGGGGAGTCAATGCTCAATGCACAATCATTAATCCACCCCCAGCCTAATTCTTGTCAGTCTCCAATCTTCTGAAGCATAATGAACAAGTTCTTACATGGTGAACAAATTCTTACATAGTGAATAAGTTCCTACATGGTGAACAGTGCAAGGGCAGTCATCACAAAAACCTTCGGTTTTGATCATGCATTATGACCTATAAACAATCAGGTCAAATATGAATATTCATTTGATTTTTATACTTGATTTATATGTGAATCCCACATTTCTCCCTTTATTATTATTATTATTATCATTATTATTATTATTTTTAAATAAAATGCTGAAGTGGTAGGTAGAGCATGGCTCTTTTTAAAACTACATTTACTGAGAACCTACTGTGTACCAGGCACTGTGCTAACAGCTTTACCTGCATCTCCTCATTTCATTCCACAACGATCCCTGAGGCAGGGGCTGTGGTTACTCTGTCTGCTTGTGAGAAAAGACAGAGGTCCTGAGGGCTCTGAGGGCGCTTGCAGCCTTGGTGCCGATGCGGCCGGCCCTGCTCTACGTCACTGCCGCCTGGGCTTTGCCTGCCCTGTGTTCCCAGACCCCCAAACAAGGCCACCTTACCTCAGGACACGCAAGACTGAACCCAGCACGCTTTATTGGTTTGGCTAAGGCTCCAGAAGGTGGAGTGGGGGTGGCCTTTGTCTCCCCGGGGGTGCTCCTTGCTCTGGGCCCATCAGGGAACTTTCTTGGGCAGGGGATTAATGATCCCACTTTCTATGTATTCGAAGACCGTGTACGGGTCCTGGTCCCCATTGAGGGTGACGGCCTGTCCGTAGAACTCCTCCAGTTCAGCAGAATTCTGGTAGAACAGATCCATTTTGAGCTTGACCTGCTCTTCAGCGTCCTTTGGGTTCTGAAGGAGGCGGGCCTGGATTTCCATGGTCGGAGGTGGCTTGTACATGAGGTGGTACCTACAAGAGAAAAAGGGAAGCAGTGGACCGTGGTCTAGCCCAGAGGGCAGGGGACAAAAGGGCCCAACTGTTGACCCACTGGTCACCACTGTCACCAAACTGTCCCTGAGCACCGGCTGTGTTCACATCCTCAGCTGAGCCCTGGAGCTACAGAGACCGCAAACACGGAGCCTGCCCCGGGGAGAGGGCTACAGACCAACAAAAGGACAGAATGGAATATATCAAGTGCCAAATTCCTCTGTTTCTTTCCTTCCCTTCCTTTCTCTTTATTCTTCCTTCCCAAGAAGAGCTATTAAGCGCCTGCTACCCATCTGGCATTATATCTGCTACTGACAATGTAATGGCAAGCAAGGCAGATGCTACCTGTTTACGGAGCTCACAGTCAAGTGGGGGAGTGGGACATTTTAACAACAAGTGTGAACGGAGATGACAGGAAGCGCCCCAGTCACTGTTGGGAGAGACCCCCGGGGCAGGGTGCCAGGAAGGCCATCGTTCTTGACGTGCTCAAGCAAGGGTGAGACATCAGCCTTAGTTTAGGAAAGTCCTGCTGCTCCCTGCCTGCCCCTCCCCACTCCACTCCTAAGCCCCTGCCGAGAATGACGGCCTGGTAACCAGGGAGGATGGAGCTTCTACCTCTTTGTGATCGTGGGGACTTTAAGCTCCACTTCAACATGAACGCAGTGACTGGCTTGGTCAGACTGCAGAACAAAGGCCAGAATTTACCTCCTGTCACTATGGGAAGGCTCACAGATGGCCTGTGATGTGAACCATGGATGTGTCTGTACCGCAGCCACTTCCGGGATGCATCGCAGGGAAAGCAAAGGCCCAGAGAGGCGAACAGGTGATGCCTGCCCAGGGTGGCCATTCCACATGCTGGGGTCAGAACTGTGGCCCCAGAACAGAGGGGGGGACTATTTCTCCAATTTCTATAGCACTTGAGTCATTAATTTCCTGGTTACTCTTTCAGGCAAAAAGGGTTGACAGACACTGCACAGAGTCGCCAGCCGGATGAGCCCTCCTCTTTCAAGAGTCTCCTTCCAGTAGCCACCAGTGTCAGCCCTGGAGCCATCCCACCTGGCATCTGTCAGCCAGCCAGCCAGCCTCCGGGAGCCGGACACGAACCTTTCTCCAGTGACAGGATCAGTTCTTCTCAGGGTCAGCCGCTCGATGACAGAATCGAATGGCACATTCAGGAAAAACACCCTACAGGGAAAGAACGAGGTGAGCTGGAGAGAACCCCAGGCTGGACTCCTGTCCCTGAGAGCAGGGTCAGCATCGTCCCTTGTGCATGGGCGGAGACCCGGGTGCCACCTCTCAGGGGCTCCGGGGTCCAGGGAGGGATAAGGGCAGGGGCTTCCCTGCCAGTGGAAGCTCTCTGCACCCTTGATTCAGTGACAGCTCCCAGCCCCCATCACTCCTGGGTGAGGCCCCCCAGGAGGCAGCGGTCAGCTGGGCTGGGGGGGGCAGATGCCTTATCCTGGTGCAGTCACACAGACTTGGGTTAGAATGACCTCCCCCATGGGCTTGTTGTGTGACTAACACAACCTCACCCTCCTGCTTGATTTCCTCAACTGCAAAATGGCGCTAAAAATAGTCCCCGGTGTTGGGGACTTAATGAGATGAAGCGCAGGGTGTGTGCACCTCGGCACTCAAACATGGCTGTGGGTGCATCATGTAATCGAGGTTATCACTGGATGCCTTCCCGAGAGTTCAGCTGTGCTGACTGCCCGGGCTCACCTTGGGAGAAGCTTCCTCACTTCCTCTTTTACAAAGGAGCCCCAGAACAAAGGGAACAGGACCCTCAAAAGTCAACAGCCCAAATCCGAGCTCAGTGGACGAGGCAGTGCTCACCTCTGGCTGCCAAGAGGCCAAGCTTCGGCAGGTCCAATGGGACGGTGGTCCCATGGGCCCTGGACCAGCCTCTCGGGCCCAGGTGCCACCTGCTAGGGCCAGCAATGACCAGCCCCCACCCAGTGTTCTGACACCCAGCAAGTGCTCAAAGAACACTTGTGAAGGAATGAGTACATGACTGCTTGGTACACAGATCTAGCCTTCTAAGAGAAACTCTTTCTGCCGACTGCCTTTCTTCCATCCCAGCCAAAAAACAGCTAACTGTGAATGATGCTAAGTTCCACAGCTGAAAGGTTCTTGGGCACATTTCCCTAATTCCCAGGAACCAGGTGCATCAGAGTGCCCTGGGAGCCTGTGCCTGGGTGGGCTGCTGAGGCTCTGCCACTCCCACAGGAATGCTCATCAGGGGAGCTGGAGGAGGCTAGCATCCCCCAGGGACTGGAACCCTCTGCCTTGGAGAGTGCCTGGGCCAGGGATTTGGCACCAGGCGCCCCCACACATCCTGTGACCCCTGGAAATTACATACAAACTGTTGACTACAGTATTTTCTGGGAGGTGCTGGGTCCATGTTTCTTAGCCGATTCTCTAAGGGGTGCCAGTTCTTGAAAATGGTTATGAGTCACGGGTCTGAATCAAACCCTTGTGTTTTCAAGGATGAGGGACGCAGCCCCAGTGGACCATGAGGAGGTGGCAGAACTGGCCTTCCCCGGGTGCTGCACGCTGCCCTGACACTCACCACTTCCCTCCGCTTACAGACCACATGCTGGTTTTCCCAGGCCCCTCTGGGAAACCTGCCTGATCCCCTCTCATCCCTGGGACTTGCTTGGAATTAACTCCCCCCAGAGAGGAGGGCGGGGAGGCCCAGATGTGGCCAATCTGAGTGCCGGCTCCTCCTGGTCGCAGGAACAGGAGCAGGACGGCCGCTGCCCCACAGCTTGTCAGAAATAAAGAAGCTTCATTTCAGGGGGGCTGCTAAGCAGATGAAGTGGAAGTGTGGCTGCCGGCGGCCTGCGCCCAGAGGGAGCCTACCTGAGAATGAGGCCCCAGCCCCCAGCCCTCGCAAGAGCAGAGACATGGTGAGGGGCACTCGGGCCCCGAATCAAGCTGTGCCCGAAGCCAACACACCTCAGTGTTACCGTGACACGAATCCATAAACGTCTTCTTTTGTTTAAGCGGGTTTGAGCTGGGCCTCCTGCCGTTGTCCAAAGGACACCTCAAACATCTAGTCTCACTAATGGCCCTTGCTTCGGGAAAATGTGTGAACTTTCCAAAAATATGAGTCCCTGAGCCAAATGTTCTCTCTGCTTCGAGGCCGGCCTCTCCCTCTCTCACTTCGCCCCTGCTGCTGGCCACGGTTCGCCTCTGCCCCGTGACCGAGAGGCCCCTCCCTGGCGCACGGTGCAAGCTGCAGCCACCCCTCCACAAAGCAGGCGCAACGGTTCCCTCGGCGGCCTGGGGGCTGGGAGCCATGAAAATCCGCTTCTCTCCCGCACATGTGTCTCTCACAACGTGCTGCAAAATAACAGCCACCAAATAAAACATGCAAGATCGGGGAGCAAATGAACACGGGGAACACAGGTGTTTCAACATGCTTTTATCCCTTACACTCCAAACATGCTGATCCCCCGACTCGCATCCCCAGAACGTGTGAGGCCCAACACCAACACCAAAACACGGCTGTCACCGCCGCTGGCGACTGATGGTGCTGCTCCAGATGCCAACGGCAGTAGAAAGGATGCCAGTTTGGAAATCCCTAATAATTGATGCTGCTTCATAAACAAAAGCCCCAATTGAAAGATCTTTAACCCAGCATATCAAGACCACTGTCATCATTCAAGGGAATGGCTTGTGAAAAACTGGAGACATCAGAAGCACAAGGATACCAGTCTGGTACTTGAAACACGTCGCTGGGAAAAGCCTTGCAGGAAAGGAGCTGTTTCCATGCCGGAAGCGTCTGATTTGCCAGGCTCCTGGCACACGGTGCCAGAGCCAGGTGGCAGGGCGGAGTGGGGGGCCTGAGCAGCTCTGTGGAGGCACGGCACCCCATGCATGCCCTCACCTGCTGGCTTTTTAGTCTGCTCCCCATTTATGATAACACAGCCAGGAATGGGAGAGTGGGGAAAGCAGGCTGTGGGGGGCATGCACACTCCTGGTGAGTAGAGGGGTTCCTGGACTCACGGCAGCGGGAGCTCACCTGCTGTGGGGACTGCAGAATTTCAGGCTGCTGGTTGCGTCCACAGGGAGGTGGAAAGTGCCCAGGGAGGCCTCGAATTCCTGCTACTCGAAGTGAGGTCCCTGGGCCAGGGGCATCGGCACCTGGGAGCTCAGGCACCACAGCCCACCCACTGAACCAAAGTCTACATTTTCACAAGATCCACAAAGATTTGTTGGCATGTCAAGGCTGGACAAGTGCCACTCTGATTCTGTGTTTCCCAGATTTGTCTGACTTTGAGAATCACCCAGAAGGCTAATCTAAAATACAAATTCCAGGCACCCCTCCCAGAGTTACGGGACCAATACCCCCAGAGGAGGGGCCGGGGGACCTGTATTTGCAAATCAGCAGCACAGTTGATTCTCATTTTCAGGCAGGTGTGGGAATTCTGCTCCTGGCTCTAATCCAAGGTATCAGCCTCACTACCACCCTGGAACCATGTGGGAGCTTTGAGGATACTGAGGGCCCCACCCCTAGAGGTTCTGCTATAATTGGCCCAAGGTGAGACCTGGAGAGGGAGACTTTTAAAGTCCACCAGTGATGGCGGTAAGTGGTCAGGGCTGAGGACCACTGCTCAGTGCACCACGGGGGATGGTCCCACAGACGTGAAGGCCCACACTCTGCCACCCAGGGCATTGGTGCCAGACACCCAGTGACAGCTCGGATCTCTTGTCCCACCCTCATCATGCCCCCTCTGGCCACATTGCCTGGACTCTGTCTGGGGAGCAAAGGAAGCCGTCCTCCTCAAAGGCCTTGAAGCTTCCCCTCTGTTACGGAGCTAAATTCCCTGGAAATGAGGGATGGAATTTTCCCTGGACCCACAGATAGATTTGGTAAAGTGAGAAGTGTGACATACAATAACTGCTTTAAATAAATGTGGTGCCCAGGCCTCCCCAGAAGCAGAGGCTTGCCCCTGTTAGCCTCTTGATCTTAATCAATAAGCCTCCACTATGTGCAAAACTCTATACAAAGTACCATTGTGTAACTGCAATGAGATACCATTTCACACCTGTCAGGATTGTTGTTCTTAAAAAGCCAGCAGTAACAAGCATTGGTGAAGATGTGGAGAAGGTGGCACACTTGTACATTACTAGTGGGAATGTGAAATGGTACAACCACTATGGAAAATGGTTTGGTGGTGGTTCCTCAAAAAAGTAAACACAGTACTGTACGACTCAGCTATTCTGCTCCTGAGTATATACCCAAAATAAGGGAAAGCAGAGAATGGAAGAGATATTTATACACCCAAATTCATAGCAGCATTATTCACAACAACCAAAAAGTAGAAGCAACCCAAATGTCCATTGATGGGCACTGGGGAGACAACATGTGTCCATCCATACACTGACATATTATTTAGCCTTAAAAAGGAATTAAATCCTGACACAGGCTACAACCCAGATGAACCTTGAAGATATTACACTAAGTGAAATAAATCAGACACAAAAGGACAAATATTCTATGGTTTCACTTATTTGGCGTGCCTAGAGCTGTCAGATTCATAGAGGCAGAGAGTAGGATAGTGGGGGCCAGGCTGGAGGAGGGAGACGGGGGTTAGTGTTTAATGGGGACAGAGTTTCAGTCTGAGAAGCTCAAACGGGAGACAGATGGTGGGGATGGTCGCATAACAATGTGAATGTACTTAATGTCACTGAACTGTATACTTAAAAATGATTAAAATAGTACATTCTGTGTTATATATTTTACCACAAAAACAAAAAAAACATTATGGGGTAGCAGACATTATGGTAAAGGCAGAGGAAGGGGTGGTTCTCTGGCCTTGAATAAACTTAGAATTTAATGAGATTCTGAATATTCACATGTATGCAAATAAATGGATGGACCAAAAAATCTGAACCATGTGATAGTACTAATTCTATACTAACTATGATATTGATGCTACACAACTCTCAGAAAATAGAAGAGAGTAGAAGTTCATTCATTAGGCAGCCTCTCCCTCGTACCAAAAACCAGACAGACAGTACAAGAAACTATACACCAACATCCCTCATAAATACAGATGCAAAGATACTCAGTAAAATATTAGCACATTGAATTCAGAAATACATTAAAAGACAAACAAACATTAGGTAGGGTTTAGCCTGGGAATGAAAATACGGTCTACCATTTGAAAACCAAT